ACTGTGGGGACCCAGAGGCCGCTCCACGCTCACCATGAGCCAGGAGGGGCCCTCAAGCCAAGTGTCCCTCTGTCCTCGCTGGGCCTGGCCCCCAGGGAGGGCTGTGAATGCCTGGTTCTGTCCCCTTGCACAGGCAGGGACGCGCCTTCCTCTCACTGCCATACCCGGGGGCCTCACCGAGCACACGAGCACCAAAAAGACTGAACTTCCAGGGGGGGGAGGGGGGGCAGGGGGTTGTTGGTTCCTTTCCCGGGGGGATTGGGTTGGTTGGGGGGCGGGCTTCCTTTCCTTCTTTGGCGGGGGGGGAGATTCTGGGGAGGTCCCTCCCTTCCCGCCTGCTGGCCGGCCTCCCCTCTGGCACACGCCGCTGCCTCTCCCAACTCCCCCGCCCCGACGACATGGTGCCAGGTGAGCGTGGGTGGAAACAGCTTCTGTGCGTGGGCCCCTCCCTGGGAACCTCGGTCTTGCGGTGGCCTTAAGAGCGTGCAGCTGTGCACGCCGGGTCCTGATCCTCAGAGCAGAAGACCTCATCCACCGAGTGAGACTGACCACCGGGAACTGCGTGACTCCCCCGGGCAAACAGGGATGCCCCCTGGACAGCGGGCAGGGGCATTTGAGGCATGATGAAAGCAGCCACTTCCCAGTGTCTGCGTAGCTCTGGGAGTGTCTGGAATCTCGTTCTCAGTCCACTGAGCCCAGGTAACCCGCCCGAGGCAGGGCGGAAGCATCCGGCTCAGGGCCGCTGGCCGGAGAACTGCCCCACCCCCACCCAGGCAGCTCCCAGATCAGGCATATCAGCTTCTGGGGGGCCCAGGTACCCACATTTTGCAACACTCCAGGCGATTTCGTGGTCAGCCCGGGCCCTGGGTTGACCTCTTGCTCTCATCAGGGGGTCGGGGCACTCCCTTTACCATCTGAAATAAAAATCATAGGTGCTATAACTCGCCTCACACGTAATTTTGCAAAAAAATCAATATAATGTCCTGACAGTAATATGAAGGAGGAATTAAAGGGAAATCATACAATAAAACAATACATGTTTCAACAGGTGAATGCCCGGCCCCATCCCTCCGAGGCTCGCCTGGCTCATGGAGTCCCCGTGCTGGCCCCGCTGCTGAAGCAGGTAGACTGGGTGCCATGTTCGGGTCAGCACCTTCGGGGCATGGTGATGTGACTTCCCCGGGGGGTGAAGCTCTCCCCTCAGCTCACGCCGTAGGCGCTTTCCTGGAAAATTCAGTGAACATTAAACACGCACTAAAGATCCTCAGGGCTTGTGAGCATCCACTTGGGTAATTATAAATGGTCTTGTCACTTACCTGAGCATCTAGTGGGACAGGGGACGGACATGTTGTCTCCGTTGGCCCACATGATTACTGCATGTCACCGTGACAACCCGAATTTCTGAAATGTCCCAGGGGTGGAGCCACCTCGCATTCAACTATTTCGGTGGGGACGTGAGGAGCCTGCAGCAGGGAGGACCACCTCCCGGGGCCTGGCAGGTCACCTCCTGTGATGCTCTTGGCCAACAGCGTGTCTGGAGGGCCGGCGGGGGGAGGGTGGGCAGCATCTCTGATGGGGCGGCCGGGGCCTGGCCGAGGGTGAGGAGAGAGGGCGCCTGTCTGAGGCTCCAAAAAACTCCGAAGTCAAGAAAAATTATGTTTTTACTGCAGTGTTTATAAGAATCGAAGTTAATGCAGGACCAATGCAAGGTATCCGCAGAGAAGGAAATCCCCAAGTTCCATGCGGAAAGGGTCGGCGCTCCCGCCTTTTCCTTCTGCCCCCGGCTCCACGGGGCCGGGCGGGGCCCTGCCGGGCACTCAGCTCCGAGGGCTCTCTCTGGGGCGGAGGCTTCCTCTGCTCCGCGTGGTGCGAACTTGGTCCCGTGTGCAGCTACGAGGCCACGTCTGGGTGGTCGATGACTCCCCACAGGCGGCTGTGCTGCGCCGGTGTCTCCGACCCACCGGGCGGTCTGCGGCCGCAGCCCCTTCCGGCGCACAGAGGTGGGCGCCGGCTTGAGGGTGTCCTGAGGGGTGTAGGTGTCAGGCGGTCTAGGCGGGAGCCGTCAGCCCTGCTGGACTCACCGAGCCGGTTCTAACTGTCCCCTGCCCAGGCCACACCCACCAGTAAAATCCAGGTCTCTGGGGTGGGGCCTGGGCAGGACCCTCTTAAAATCTCCCCAGGGGACTCTACTGTTCAGCCAGGATGAGAACCGTGGGCCCTGGCGGGCCTGCCGACCCCGCGTCTGTGGTGGCGTGACGTGCTTCAGTGTGCGGGGAGAATTGTCACATGACGTTTGTGCTCCTTGCCACCTGTCTTCACACCTGTGCCGTTCCCTCTGCAAAGACCGGCATTCGAGAGTCCCAGGATCACGCCTGTTTCACAGACGGGGCGGGCACTAACATTCTTAGACTCTTCCCCTTGTTCCAGAACTTTCCAGGCATGTTCTCAAAGAGCCTGAGGGCAGGCTCGGATGCTCGGTGTCCCTGTGGCCCCATTTTACAGACCTGGAAGCCAAGGAGCGGAGGAGCAAAGTCTCCTGGCTGAGCCCCTGGTGGGACTCGGGCTGTGACCCTCTCTCCCCTGCAGGGTGAGACATTTCTGTGCCCTTTTGTCATCGCCTAGAGCCGGTGACGCCGCTTAATCTGTCTGTCTGGAATCGCCGCCTGGCCCCTCACCACGGTTATTGCATTTCGCGCCGAGTCGCTTGGATATTCTGGGTTATTGGCTCATTTTTCATTTTGCATCTGTGGTAACAGGCTTGGAAGTGAAGAGTGCGCCGTGCCCAGGCGTGATGGAAGAGCGTCGCGGGCGAACGCCTGCCGCCCGGAAAGGCTTTTAGGAGGCAGCGGAGCAGAGGGGAGGGTGGCCCGTGGACTCAGCTGGGCCCTGGCTCCGCGGCCTGGACGGTGTGGCCGAGCCCACCTCTCAGAGCCGAGGGTTTCTGTGCAGGTAAGAGGGTTCTGCGGCGTGCGGCGCCATCCGTAATGTCGTTACCGTGGCTGTGACACGTCGTAACTGTAACGTATGTCTACGAGTCATACAATAACAGAACTCTTTTATTTTGGGGATCTCTTAGAAAACAAATAGGAGAGAGAACCGTGAAATGGCCGACCTGAGACCGGCTTCCTGCCTGATATCCAGTTTCCCCGCCCTCGCTCCCCTCCCCCTCGCCTGCTATCCGATTATTTTGGCTCCCGCGATGCACTTGTGTCCGTACCCGGCCTCTCCTGAGGGCCCCCGGGAACGAAATAACAGGAGAGTTCGTGGCCCCTCTCTCTGGGGCCGGGTGGGTCGAGACCCCCTAAGAAGCGGTTTCATGCCTGGACCGCGTGGGCAGGCGGGTGGCGGCAGACACTGCTGGTCTGCGAGTGCCGGCGTGACCGTCGCCGTCGGGGGGTCGAGTGACTTGCACGAGGTCACAAAACAACCGAGGGGCAGGGCTGGGACTCACACTCAGGTGAGGGATGAAGAGTGTCTTCTGTCTCGACACTCAGGCGTCACCCCGCACCTACGTACGGTGGGCTCCGGGGCTCTGTGCACGGCGGGGGGCCAGCGGCAGCAGAAGGCCAGGGCCCATGGGGGCCACGCTGTGCAGGGAGAGGCAGGAATCGATGGAGCACGTCAAGGAACAGGTAGCTAGATGCCACTAGGCTTTGGGGAGGGCCACGGGGACTCGGGAGAGAGTGGCGGGGGCAGTCGGGAGGCGGAGGAGGGGCAGGGGCCTGGGGCTGGGGCAGGCAGAGCCCTGCTGCCGTCCCAACAACACAGGCTCGTGATGGGGGAGTTTGTCCTTTGTTCAAGCTACACGGGAGAGCGGGGTGCCAGGGGCCAGCCTCTGGCCACCGCACCGTCCCTGTCCCTCAGCGCAGGTCCTTCTCAGGGCCTCAGGAACCTGAGAGAACCTGCCGCTTGCGCTGTATGGGACATCTCTGCGTCTTCCTCTTAATTTTGCTGTGAACCTAAAACAGTTCTAAGAAAAATAATGTTTTTTAAAAAATTTAAAATCCCACAAAAACACCTCCCCCAAATCTGCCCGTTGGAGAAACGGCCGGCCCACCCTAAGGAAAGGCAGGTGCTCTGAACACTGCCCCGTTCGTAAGGAATCGTGCGTAGGAAGGGGTCGCATAAACTTTTTGTGACGCTACTTCTCTGCCTTTCGGGGGTAACGGAACCCGAGGGGTATTTTTGAGTTCGAAGATTTGCATATTTCTCACCACTCGGGTGAGGCTCCCAGCACTGTGGGCTTCTGCCAGCCTGGGCCGAGACAGGCGTGGCAGGGGAGCCCCTCGTGTCGTGGCTCCCCAAGCCTGGAATCCCAGGAGGTCCCAGCAGCCCTCTGGCAGCGGTGCCCGCACGGGCTCCCTCCCACTTTGTGCCTGGGCCCCTGGAGTCCGTTGACAGCGATGCTCACCACGCACGGACGCTCCACGTAGCAAGAGACAAAGGTCCGCACTCCCTCTTTCTATCCTCTTCCTGTGGAGGGCAAAGCCCAGGAGGCCAGGCTGGGGAGCGGCTGGTCCGTGGGGACTCTGGGGGCACGAGAGGAAGGAGCCCAGGGTCCACCTCACCAGCAGCCACTGGTAGCAGGGCCGTGGCGGGTGTGTTCCTGGACAGGTAGCCATGCACCGTGCGTCACTGGCTGGAAACCTGGGGCAGGAATTAGGACCGGGACGTCAGGAGAGGAGGCGCAGCTGAGCGAAGCAGGGTGAGGACCCGGCCCCCGGGGGGCTAGGTAGGTGTGGTCTCTACTCTCTCCCGTGGGTTGGAGCACGAGCAGCCAGCGTGCCTGAGGGCTCATCCTTGCAGCTGCCCTTAGCTGTTTGTCACACCCCGTCCATCAATGGTCTCCAACTTACTTTAGCCCTTCTCTTGGCCCCAGGAGGCAGGCCTCTCCGTTGCACTTTGTGGGTATGCCAACCTGCTGCCACCGTGCCTCTGGCCATGTCTGCTGGGCATGGGCTGCCAGTGTTGGAGGGAGAGCCGCAGCTCGGGGAGCGCCTGGCCCAGTGGGTAGAGTTCATGCATCATGCTTGTCTGTATGAATTTCCTTCGTTAAAAAGATTGTTTTTATTTAAGTTAGATTCACACGGCATAAAATGATCCATTTTAAAGTGGGCGATTCAGTGGCATTTAGTGTGCTCCTAATGTGGCACAGCTACCACCTCTGTCTAGTTCCAAACCACGGTCATCTCCCGAAAAGGAGCCTCCGTCCCCTCTCCAGCCCCTGGAAACCCCCAATCTGCTTTCTGTCTAAGTATTTGCCTGTTCGGGTAATTTCATGTGAATGGGATCCTATGACGTGGCCTTTTGTGCCCGGTTCTTTCACCGTGCGTGGCGTTTCCGAGGTTCACCGTGGCGGAGCGCGTGTCGGCGCCTCATCCTTTCTGTGGCCGAGTGATGCCCCCCGCACGGCGGGCCACGTGCTGCTCATCCGTGCGCCGATGGACGTGGCTGTGGGCTGTTTCCACCTGTCGACTACCTTGAACGGTGCTGCCGTGAGCCACGTGGGCATGGATTTGGGGGCCAGTTTCCAGTCTTTCTGGGCACACCATATCCTTAGGGCTGGCGGTGCTGGGTGACACAGACATTCTGTGTCTGACTTCTTCAGAAACCACCACACCATTTTCCTCCATGTCTCTCTTTGGTGACGTCTCCAGCACCAGCCACCAGCCACCTCTCCGCACTGTATTTCACCCCTACGCTGGCCCCGAGGTGTCGGTGCTGACGGGATTCCCATGGGAACGACGGGGACACTGAGGCTCCCTGAAGCCAGGTGGCATGGTCAGTGGTGCAGCCAGGACGCTGGGCTCTCTGTCACTTCCACCGACTCTAAAGCTTGCCCATCCCTGGAGCCCCGACCCAACTTGGCCCCTCCCAGGGGCCTTGGAAAGAGCCACTCTTCCCGGTGCCCTCTGGCCTCTGTGTCTGGGTGCAGAGCTCGGGCACCGTTTTAGCTTCTGAAGGTGAGAACTTGTATCCTAGTTCTTTCCGCCACCCCCCTGCCCCGACCATGTACACAGTAGGTGCTTTATAAATTTCCTGGTTGCGAGCTCTGACAGATTCGAGCTGATCCCAAGGCAGGGCCTGGCCTGGGTAGATGGTCCTCTCTCGGCAGCCGCCGTGGGGCACGGTGCCTGCATGGTGCGCGGTGAACCGCGGGTCAGCCCCCCGCGTACGGAGCCTCCTTCCGACTTCAAGGAAAGTTGTGTGTTTGGAGAAGAGGATGCTGCCGGGAGAGCACGAACCTCTTACCTCTCCTCTGGAAAAATAGATCATTTTCTTTCTTCCCCCACCCCCCAACAGCAGAGCAGATGTTAACTTTCCAATAAACAGGAGAAAAAATAGATGAGAGACATTTAGCAAACTATAGCTGTGCAGGCCTGAGTTATCACTCGGATTTCAACTGGGACTATAAAATTTTATGAGCTATTAAATTGTCCTAAACCTCCTTTAACATACAAACTTGAGTGTCTGCGATTACCCATTAAGAAAAAGTGGGTTACATCAGGAGAACTTTTACTACTTACACTCAATTGTGTTCAATCAATAAAACTTTTAACTAGCCACGTTGCTCTGTGCCGTCTGGGTCCGGCGTGGACGGGCCAGTTGGTGGCTCGGGCCGGCCCCTGAGCTTGGCTGGAGCGGACGGCAGGATTCTCTGGTGGGTTCGCCTCCGAGGCTTCCTGTGGGCTTGGGCTCTGGGTTGGGGTTCCACGCTAGGAGGATTGAGTGGGGGCGGCGGCAGAGACCAGCATGGCCCACCCAGCACATGCTGGGGAACACGTTAGCCACGCCGTGGCCCGAGCAAGCGTGAGGATCCGAACCCTCCTGGGAGGGGTGCGTGTGCGCAGAAGGGGCTGGGCTGGTTATCTTAGGGTGCAGGGCCCGGGGAGACCCTGGCTAAGGAGTGGCTGCCCCTCCTGTTTACAGCCAGGGCGCCGAGGCTCAGAGGGTGCTACACCCTCCGGGGCAGCTGGCCGCTTCCTGGAGAGCAGCCCCGGGCGTTTCTGCCCCCATGCGAGGTGGGGGCTCGGTTCTGAGGTGTAAGGCCTGGGGGACAGCCTGGATGGTGTGCCCCTCACCAGGGCAATGAGTTGAGACCTGGGGGTCCCTTAGGAGGGGTGGGGCACTCCCCCGAGGTCACCCCCCAGCTGACGGGCTGTGGGAAGGGAGATGTCTCTACACAGACAGCTCTTGTGGGTCCCTGTAGAACCATCTCTTGGAAAGGAGCTCCCCTTCCGAAGGGGCCCAGGGAGGCTCAGGCCGCAGGGGCTCCGTCTGACCGTGCCCTGCCCTGGGGTGGCCTGCCGGTGCCTGGCTGGGCCGAGGGAGGGCAGGGCGGGGCTCGCTCAGACCAGGGAGGACGGACACTGAAAGGAGTGAGCCTGCACCTGGGCGTGTGGTCCTGTCCCCACCTGAGCCTCGGTTTTCTCACTTGGGAAACGGGGCGATGGCACCTGCTTCAGGGGGACCAGGAGAGGAGAGGAGGTCGTGTCCCACTGGCACCTCGTGAAGTGCTTAGTAAAATGGTGGCTAAACCACAACAACAAAAAATCAGACTCTGTAGATGAAAGGAGAGCTCTGGTGAACGGCGGTGGAAGGCATCGGGCCGGTTCTGGCTTTTGCCCAGAGAAGGTCGCGGGTGGGTGTGACGGGCCGAGGCCGGGATACCCAAAGCCTGGCCGGGAGCGCGGGCTGAGGGGCACCCCAGGGGCTGAGGCTGCATCTGTGGGGGCAGGTTTAAGACTGACTCGCTCCGCCGGGGCCGCCAGTGCGCCAGGAGGGTGGGGGAGCCTCTCCGTGCCGGCACAGGCGTGGTCTCCCTGCCTCCTGGGGGCCAGCGGGTGATACCTGGGGGCCGTTCTGGGAGTGGGGAATGGGCTGGCCGGAAACAGTCTTGCCTCTGAGGCCCCATCTGCCCCGTAGTCCAGAGGGGCCTGGCCCCCCAGCCCCTGCCCTGGGGCCGTCACTCCCCAAACCCTGGGAGCTCCGGGGTGGCCGGGAGCGGGGAGCCTGGCCCGGCAGCATCTGGAGGCTGGCGCCGGAATTCAAAACCGTTGCAACAGACCCGTTGGGCAATTCCTGCGGGGAGGCGCTGCGTGCTGGGAGCTCGGTTTCCACATCCAGTGTTTGGATTAGGGCAGACGCAGTCCCTGTCGCTGTTTATGTGGCCAGCCTCATCTCTCCCAGGCCCCTGGGGCGTGCGCGTCTCCTGGCTGCTTCCCTGCCGCGCCCTGGCCGCAGCGGTCAGGGGGACATGCCCAGGCCTGCAGCTCCCAGCCACCCTGGTGCCTCCGGGCTGGGAGAGGGCCTGGTCTGCGGCCTCCTGGGACAGCCCAGGTGGCACGGGGCTTGGTCAGCGTGGATTTGGGGTGTGTGTTGGGGGTGGGGTCAGTGCACAGGGTGGGAAAGCCAGGCCGGCCGTTTGGAGTGTGCTCTGCCAGACCCCAATTAGCCTGGTATGTGGGACCGTGACCTCCCGCTTGCCTGGTGACAGGGCTGTGGGATCCACTCCCAGGCCCCTCTCTGCCCTGCCAGACAACTGGAGTCCCCGACCCAGGAATGCTTCCGGGGGCCCCCCTCTCTCAGCCTGAAGTCCAGACCCTGGGATGTCAACCCAGCCCTGCCAGCAGCTGGCTGAGGGGCTGGCCAGGTCACTGTCCCTGCGGGCATTGGTCCTGAGCAGGGCGGGGACACTGAGGGAGCGTGGAGGTCACACAGTGAGTTGGGCAGGGAGGTTAACCCAGGCTGCCTCCAAGTCCGGGGGGCCCTTCTTGGCTACAGGGTGACTGTGGGAGCCCCGCGAAAACAGTGACGTGTGTCCAGGGACTCACCAAGACCACCTTGGACACAGAGCTGGGGGGCTGGGACCGGGCGAGTCATCTGATTGGGGGCAGACTGGGAGGCGCCTTGTGGTGAAGCTGGACGTCCTGGGGGTCCCTGGGAGAGGCCGGGAAGAGGAGGGGTGACCTCAGTTTTGGGAGCCAAGTCGGGAAAGGGAGGTCGGCAGCAGGTGACGAAGCTGGTGGATGGTGGCTGAGAACTGCCACCCACACCATGGGAGCCTGGGGGCTGTCAGGCATTGGGGGCGATGCCAGCACCCTCAGGGAGTGTGTGACGGGCTGGGGGTGGGAGAGATGGGGTGGCCCTGAACCCTGAAACACCCACTGAACCCCGTGAGAAAGGCCCAGCAGAGGCGGGTTGGGGGGACGTGGACGTCTCCATGGCCTCCAGGGAGTTGTGTCCCCTCTGGGTCACCACTGAGCCTTCCGCCTCTTAGCTGACGTGGCAACGTGACGGTGATGTGGCCCTGCCTCATGGAACCGCACCAGCCTCAAGGCCCAGTGGCACCCTGACGCTTGGCTCTGGAGCGGGGGACACTTGGTGGCCCCAGGGCTCCCACAGCAGGCTCCAGGGATACCAGCCCCAGTTAGAGCGGTCTCGGGAGCCCTGGTTCTGGCCACACCGTGGCTTCGCTGAGGGACTTCTTGAGCCTTTACCCGGCCCGGCCCCCACCAGGCCCTTCCAGGCCTGCTGAGCCCACTCGGTCCTCAAACATACCCGACCCTGGGACCCCAGTTGGGCAGGGCCCTGTGGAGACCCCCTTCGGGTGGCACTGACCTGCGCCTGCCTCCGGCTGCTGGGGCCTGAGCGGTGTTGGGAGGGTGTGAGGCTGGGCGCCCGGGTGTTGTTCTCCTCACTGATCCTCACGGCAGCCCTACAGGATCAGTGCTGCGAGTACACCCATTTTACAGAGTGGGACACTGAGGCACAGGGCTGTGGCCCTCGCCCAAGGCAGCCCTGCCTCCTCCTCCAGGTGACGGGAGCCCCTCGCAGGCCTGGTTCCTGGGTGGGCAGGAGGGGGTGGACCGCGCACTCCCGCCCTGCCCCTGCCTCTCCCTCCTCTCCTGTCTCCTTTTGGGCCTCGGTGCGCCCCCACTGGCTGCTCTGTCTTTGGGATGCGGCCAGGTCCCCAGAGGGCCGTTCCGTTCCGTTGTCCCCTTCCCAGCCCTCCCAGCCCAGCCCTCTCATTTCCCTTTCTCTTCCTTCAGTAGCCCCCTGGGGCTCTTTGCTTGGTGAGATTTCCTCAGGGACCCGTGAGCCCCTCGGCTTTAATTTTCACAGGCCCTGGCATCTGAGCCCCCCCCACCGCTGCCCCCGCAGCCCCACACCCGCCAGGCAAGGGCTTTGCTGGGTCAGCGCCCGGAGCTGGTGCTCTGACCCTGTGAAGCCCCTGGCTTGCACGGCGGCCCCCCCCCCCCCACGGGCGCTCCTTCCCCTCCCCTGCAGGATGACTGTGTGGTCTTGGGGTTGGGGGCAGAGGGACACCAGCTGCAGAGGTTCCTCCCACGTCTGCCATCATTGTCACTGCTGAGTAGGTGTGGGCCCAGCTCCCTCTGCTAGCGCCTCTGCCCTGGACGCCTAGGCAGCCGGGCCTGAGCCTGCTCCCGCCTGGACTCCTCCCTGGGGGCTGGGGTCACCCGGCCAGAACGGAGCTGCAGCCTGCACTGTCCCACCCCACGCCCTCCTGCCCCCTTGCCCATGGCTCTCTCTGCCTCCCTCAGGCACCCCTCGGCCTCCCCTTCCCTCCCCTGCCCCCCGTCCCTGCCTCTACCTGCTGGGGGCTTGGTGCCCCTTCCTCCTTTCTTCCCTTTTTGGGAGGGAGAGGTTGGTGGCTGAGTCTTTGTGACCCTGAGATTTAGCCCTTGGGTACAGGAGCAGACCCTGGGTTCAAAACCCTGCCCTGCCACTAACCGTGTGACCTCGGACACTTGTAGGTGACCGCACCTGGTGTCGTGGGGCCCAGCCCCCAGGTTACAGGGAAGTGGGCAGTGCACGCCTGGCCTGGGGCACCCAGAACAGCGACAGTAGGTCCAAGGTGCTGTGTGGGCACCGTCGCCTGGGGAGGGGACCACTGCCAGGCTGTGGGGGGAGTGGGCCCCACTGCTGTCTTCGTGGCATGGCCAGGTCCCTCCCTTCACCCTGTGCCTGCACCTGACCTCCGGCTGGGATGACGCCTTGGGGCCTTCGTTGCTTTCCTGGGCAAGGGGGAACCCAGTGTCAGCAGACCCCCCCTCGTGCTAGGACCGGCGCCGGACCCACGACACGGCGTCCTGGCTGCGTTCCTGTGACTCGACGTCGGCCCAGGGCTGGGACGTGGGCAGCTCAGGGCATGGGCCCCACCCCCGCCCCAGGACTTTTGCTGCTCTGCGTGGGGTGGGGCTGCTGGAGCCCCAGCGGCAGCGTCTCCCCTCCCACTGGTATCCATCTGGCCTTGGTGTCTGAGTGGTTCTGGCTCACAGGTAGCCAGAGGCTCCGCCCTGCTGGGGAGCCCGAGGGGTGGATGGCCTGGCAGCCCTGGCATTGGCTGGCCCTGCAGCGAGCTCCCCGACACCCACTTCCCAAGCGGGCCTCTGGCCGGGCTGTCTCCCGCTGCGGCCAGCAAGCGGGATGCTCCGTGGCCTCCTGGGGGCCGTCCCTGACGGTCCGGGCTGGAATCCAGGGAACTGGCCATTCCGTGCTGCCTGGCTTCCCACCAACTCCGAGGACACCATCGACACTGGTTACGAGCTTGGGACTCTGGGGAGATGTCCGCAGCACGTGGATGGCAGCAGGCTGTCGGGGGCCAGGGCCTGGCCCTGCCAGATTCGCGTCTGGTCCACGCACCAGGGCAGCAGGCCTAGCCAGGGTCAGGCAATACGGGACACCCCGCCCTGCCACTTCCCACCTGTGCCCGTAGGGGCACCTCTCTGGGTTCAGACTTCTCCTCCTCACGGCGTTCACTCATGGCCCCTTTCCCGGCCACAGGGGCTCTGGGAGGGACACGTGTTCTGCCCACCTTGCAGATGACGAAACAGCCTCAGTAAACCCGAAAACCCCCGGGTTTACTGATGTGCCCGGGGTCGACAGGGCGGGGTGCGGCCTCTGTCACCAAGGCGGGCCTTGGCGTCTGTGTTGCCTTAAAACCGTCCTGGGTGAGCTCAGAGGCCGGCCCTGTGACAAGGTCCTGCCCTGAAACGTGCCGCTCGCCTGGCACCCACTGCTCCCTGGCTCTGCAGAGAGGTCCCCACACTCCGCTGACCCTAAATCTGCCCTCGGGGGAGCCAGACCCCGGTCCCCTCCCCACCCAGGGGTGCGCGGCAGCCCTCTGGGAAGAGCTGGCGAGGAGGGGGGCTGCTGTGTCCACACGTGGGAGCCCTGTGTCTGCACAGACACCCCCTGTGGTCACACAAGCAGGCCTGGGGCACTCCCATGGCGCACGCGTGTGTATGTACACACACATGCACACGCAGAGTCTGTCCACGCAGGCCTTGGCACAACTCATAGGCGCGCACGCACCGCGGCAGCTCCGCCCAGAGCCAGGCAGTGGGCAGACGTGTGCCCCCCCGGCCTGCCACCCCCTCCCTGGCAGCCGGGAGCCTCGTTTTGCAATTCTCGCGTTTATTGTACAGTCCTTTATAGCGGCAGAAGCTTTCAAAACACTTTAGGCTTGTTTACCGAGCTGTGCGAGAACATTTTGTCTCCTCTCTAGCTCAGCCTTCCAGAAGGATCCGGAACGTGCCCGGCTCCTGCCCAGGCCAGCACTAGCCCCTGGCTTCTTAAAGGGCCAGCTGGGCTCACCTGAGATGGGACAGTGGGGCTCGGACAGAGGCCAGCAGGCCAGCCCCTCGCCACCCCTGCACTGCTGGCCCCCGGCTCTGGGTCTCTGGCGAAATGATGCGTTAGGGGCTGGACCGGGAACCGGCAGAGAGGTGACTCAGAGCCACCTCCTGCCTCTGCAGGCCGTTTAGGGCACTGTTGCAAGAACGACCCCGTTATCGCTGTTACCTTGTACCTAGATTTGGCAAGACAGCCCTGCCCCAGCACCCCCACTCAGCCGCTCCCTGAAACAGGGCCAGAGCGGTGGGGACAGCGAGACTTTGTTCCCCTCTGTTTAAGGCCTGGGCTGTGAGGGGCCCTTGAACAGAGTCCCCAGCTGCCACCCCTGGGGACTGAGAGCCCCACTGGCAAGCGCCAGGCACCCCACTGTCCCCAGGGCCAGCCCAGATCACTGCTGGGCTCTTGCTGAAAGCAGCGGTGGGGCCTGCGAGAGCGGATTCCCCGGGAGCCATGAGCTGGGCGGGCGGCTGGCTTCTGGCGGCAACCTGGACACCAGCCGCTGTGAGGCCTGGCCAGTCCAACCCCTCCGGGCCTCTGTCTCTCACCCCTGACCCACTCTGTAAAACCGGGAGGGCGATGGATCCACGCCTGCCCAGGACCTTCCCATTCTGACAGCTTGGGCCTGGGGACGCCGGCCACTGGCTGCCCGACGGCCTGCTCCCCCCTCGCCCACGGCCACCTCTCTGTGCCTGGCGCTCCGCCCCGGGCTGGGGGGAGCAGAAAGCAACCAGCCTGGCGCTGGGCATTTTAGCTCCCAGACCGGGCTGAACTGGCTCCTGGTCGCAGGGAGGGCCCAGCCCACTGCCCCCACCCCACAGGATGCCGCCAGAAGGGGGACTGCCCTCGCCCCCACCCACCTCTGTGCCCCACCCCGTGCACCCCTCCTCAGCAGGGCCTTGGACGCGCCCCGAGGGGAGAGCTGCGTGTCTCCCCCTCTCTTCTCCCGGCGTGTCCAGCCTTAATGGTCTCGAGAGGTCCCATCTCTTTTGCCTGCCCAGCTGGCACAGGCCTTTCCTCTTGCCCCCCGAGCACGTTGCTCCTATGGGAACCCCCGCGGCTTCACGTGTGCAAAGGTGCCAGCGCCCCGTGTACCAGGCAGGTGCGAGATGGTCCCAGGACACCTCAACCCCCTCTTGGCCCCCATGTCTAGGCCAGGGTCCGGGCCGGGCCGAGCCCCCGGGGTCTCCAGCCACAGGGGGGCTGCTTTAGGCTCTGGTCTGGCCTGACCCGTGGGCCCGTGAGACCCCCGGGACAGAGGCCACTCTGGACCCAGCCCACCTCTGCTGACGCAGCCTCGGCCCTCTGGCCTCCCCCCTTCCTCCTCCTCCCCTGCCCAGCGGGTGCTGCCTGGCTCCCCTGTCCTGAGAGCAGCGGCTGCTCTCCTGCCTCCAGGGCCCCATCACATGGGCTTCAGTGTTGACACTGGAAGGGAGAACGTCCGCATAAGGGCCGAGGGGACAAAGCGGGCAGAGGTCTGTTGGGAGCAGAGACCCGGACATAGCCACGGTGTCGTGAACAGGCCGAGCTCCCGGCGCCGGGGCTGCCTCCTGGGCTGGGGCGGGGGCGAGGGAGGCAGTGCGGCGCCGGCTCCGTCCGGCCCACGGGCTTTGCGTCAGCGGCCTGCGCAGGCCCGGGCAGGCAACTGCCTCGCTGTGCCTGGCTCTCCTTGCCGCTCACAGGGTGACTGTGGAACACTCACAGCAGGGCGCCGTTGACATTGGGAGGCCGAGGGGCGTGTGCCCGTCCGTCCTTCCAGGGGAGGTAGAGGGACATGGAAAAGCAAAGCCCACCCCAGGCACAGGGTCTCTGCCCTGCCGCCTTCAGGTGCCAGGGCTCTGGCCTCTAGTGCCAGCCTGGGAGGACAGTGCCGCCCCATAGGTTCTGTCCCTGGGCAGAGGAGGCCCTGATGGGCCACGCCAGCCGGTGCAGGCTGCCCGCACACAGGGCTCGCCCCTGAGCTGTACTGTGTCCCCCCTCGCACCCCCGGTGCCTTCTGCTGGACACACGGCCCCGGCAGGACTCCTCTGAGGCCTGGAGAAAATCGGGCAAGCAGGAGCCCCCGCCACTCCCACC